TCATTTTTTAAAAAATGGAAATAAAATTAAAATGCAGAGATAATCATTAGTAACATAGATATTTGCTGCATAACTTTTTATAAGAAAAATAGTTTCAAAAAGTCTGACAACCTTATACAATAATTTTGAAAGGATTAAGAAGCATTACATCTGAAATACGTTTAATTTGTAGTGCTCTTCTTCTCCTTAACTACTAAATCAGCTGAAAGTATATTTTACTTTGAATCCTAAGATTTAAAACACACTATTTAAATTTCCAGACAGTTAAATTTTACTTTATTTTGGTTTTAATTTATCAGTTAAATATGTCACAGTCAGGTAAAAAGAAAATCTTTCTGCTTAATTTGTTTTAAGTTCATTAAGATGTAAGAGTGCTTTACAGACACTGGAAAAAGAAACAGATTCTCTCTTTGTTAATACTCTTTAGCCAAAGGCCAGCAAGGATACACCTGTCACTGAAGAAGCCTGGGCTTTGTAAATCATTGCTACAGTGAGGATGCACACGAGAATCAGAAAGCGGCTCAGTAAGGGGGTGTTGGAAAAGATATACTGCAACATTTAAGCATGTGTTAGGTGATTTGGGAGAAGGTTCACTTAAGTGGTTTTGCGCCGTCCTGGGCTCTGTCAGTAAATGGGCATTGTCCTATGATTGGGTATCTTAATGAATCTTATCTAAAAGGTGAGAAGAGAGCAAGCTAAAATTATGATTGGAAAGAAGTAGCAGCCACTCATACTGGCCAGGGTAGGAGGCCACTTAGTCATTGTCATGGTTTGGACAAGGTCCATATTTCCATCTGATTCAGACATGATTACAGAGTGGTCTTAGACATGCCTTCATCTGTGGTCACGCCGAGTGGCCACGGGCAAGGTGGATGTTCCGTAGAATTACCATCGTATGACAGAAGAGCAGCAGAGCTACTGTGACGGCCGGGCCAGCTCGCACATTTCAGCCGCTGCTCTTCTCTTCCTCCTCTTTTATAAACAAATTTTGGTAAATGAATGTTCATACACACATACAGATACAATCAAATGGTTTACCATACATTTATTACATTAGAAACATTTAATGTTTAGCGAATCTACTATGTAGAGTTTGAATACGTATATAAGTCTCTAAAGAAATCATTTCTTTTTATTATAGACAAACAAAAGGAAACACAAAAGCAAAAGGAAAATCAGGTACACTCGTCTGGACCCAGCGCAACATGTACGAACAATTGAGATAAAACATTCCCTGGCTGCACTAGTTATGGAATTTTTAAATTGACTTTATTTTCAGCATTAAATAAAGCTTAAATGAAGCTTTCTGTGTTATAACTGTAGCCTACCTTGTTTTTCAGCCTATTTCTAGCCAGTGCTACCAAAACCAGGACCCTTTCCCACCCCACGATCCTCTCTTGTTCCTGCCTCCTTCCGGTGGCTGCTTGTTAACTGCTTCCTGAACGTAAATAACCTATGCCTCCAGGCCCTCTTTACTCTCCCTGGAATGTACTTAGCTCCCCGTCAATCCAGGGATGACCTCTCAACCTACTTGGACACATCCTTGCAAACCTACCCCTTTGACTCCCTTCTGAGAAGCCACTCCTAACACCTCATCCTAGGGTTCTGGCGAGCTTCTCTCCTAGCAGAGCACTGACTACCACGCAATGGGCTCTTCCTGCTGGCAGCCTCTCTAAATTAGAGACCACGTCTACTTAGCTTTGTGACTCTGACTCAGGACAAGCCAGGAATTAAAACACCAGAGTAGATGGATGGCGAATGATGAGCAACAATTAGAGGAGTACAGCTGTGTTCTTTGCACACACTCCATGCCTTGTTCCTCCGTGGGCTCTTCCTGCATCGCTCTACCGGATTGTTGGACACATGCCCAGGTTTGTAGACTCTCGGCACAGCATCTGTGCGCTTCACTATCCTCTTTACCAGGTACTCTGTGAAGTTCTTTCAACCCGCGATCAATGAAAACCATATTTGGTGATTACTCAATGGTACCAAGTCAATACAAAGATGCACAAGAGGGTTTTTAAGCTTGGCCTCCCGGTAACAGCTACGGCACAGACATAGTTACAGAATACATACAGAAACAAAACAAAGCGATGAGAGGCCTCTCTTGACAGGTCATCCAGTCCTCATGAGAGGTGGAGAACAAATATTCATTCCATTTCAAGCAACACGCTTCCATGAGCACTGGGTTATCTGGCACCAAGTGTTTTCTGTCAACTTGGTTATAGCAGGCAGTTTGGGGACATTTCTCAGATATCTCTGTCTTGAGGTTACTAGTATTCCAGGTTTCCTCTGTCTTCAGATGCTGGTCTGAAGTCCAGCTGTCATCCCGATGTGAGTGGGTGGCTTTGCCCTCCGGGTGAGTTGCAATGGTCCCCACCCGGTATCTGAGCCCAGTTTCAGCATATGTCATGTAGCTCGAAGAGTCTTACTCCATTTTTTTATTTCTTGGCAGCCTTGGCTCCTGTACCAGGTTTAAACTAACTGCTTTACAAAGCTGAACACCTCGCTAAGGCGCCGTTTTCCCTCTGCAAGTTTGGGTAATTATAGTATTCGTGCCATGGGTGTTATTAAGGAGAAATTAGACATAGTAGCTAGCGTGAAGTCAGCATGTCCCTTCCAGCGTGGGTATTTGATCACAGTACATGAAGCACAAATGGGGTGAGTCTCAGGAGGAGGGAGGGTGTAGCAGGAGCTATTGCATTCAGTTGGGCCGGAATGAAGTCAGTTCACCATTCTGATGACATAGTTACTTTGTCCCAGGTACAGGGATACAAAGATGGATGTGCAGACAGAAGCAGGCAATGGCAACACAGTAGCACTAAGTGTAATGGCACAGGCAGCCTTGAGGTGGTGAGAGCCTAGCACTGCCAGGGGCTGGGGAAGAAGGCCGTACCCAGAGGTGATGCTCAAAGGAGACTGAAGGTAAAAACTTGGAAAACCAGCTGGGGGAGTTGTTCAAGAGAGGCTGAACAGCAGAGTTTGTAGGGCATGGGTTTGATCTCAGTAGCTGGATAGCAGAGTGACTGAGAACTGGAGTCAGAGAACCTGATTTCAACCTCAGCCCTTTAACTTACGAACTAGGACGCTGTGAGCCAATTTCTTTTTTTAAATATATATATATGTTTATGTAAATAAATATATATACATATATATATATATATATAACTATTTATTTAATTAACTTGCTATTATTTTTTAATTTGACCAGAGAGAGATGGGGGTGGGGAGGAGGAGTGAGAAAGCAAGCCGCCAGGTCTGGTGCTTGAACCATAGTTGGTCTTGTGGGATCCAGCACCTTAACCACCATACCATCTGCCGGCCTGAGCCAATTTCTTAACTTCCCTAAGTCTTGGTTATAAAGTGGGGATAATAGTAGAATCCGTGTTACAGGATTGTTTTCAGAATTAAACGAGACAATGCACATCACGTGTTTCTCCCGGCAATTCAGGCACAGTAAATGATTGTGGCAGCCACATGTTTAGAGAGTTTCCTCCCAGCCATGGTTACATATTATTACCTGAGAAATGAATGGCACCACACCTGATCATTAGCGGGAAGAAGTTCTGGGAGAGTCCAAACAGTCCCAGTTCTCCGACTCCCGCTTGGCGCTCATCTGTGTTCCAAGCCTTGCCCTAACCTGCCTTTTCTCTGACAACCTATTTTGAACACACTTTTCTGCCTCAAACCGGCACTTCCTTCAAGACACAACTATAGAATTTATGATATCACAACCTTACAATGAAGACCAGCAGTTGGTGTAATGGCTGTGTCACTGGACTCCCATGTAGTCGACTGCGGTTCAAGTCCCAGACCCAGCGACTTAAACTCACACTGGGTATGTGTGTGTACATGTCCAAGATTCCAAGAGGAGAATGGAGGAGAAGGGATTGTGGCGTAGCCATCCCCCCTGGGGGGGAGGATTTCTCACTTTCTGTCTCTCTCTGTCTTTCTGGCAAGCACACGCACCCTATAGCAAAAACCTCTCCAAAAAAGAAAAAAAAAAAACCTACAAGGGAGCTATAAGCAATTTGCACCCCACCTCTATGGTCTGCTTTCTGTCCCAGATCCTGTTGACCAGACCCACCTTCCATCACCTCCCTGGAAATCAAGTAAGCCAATCTTGGTACCCACATATGCCAATCAACAGAGAGCTACAAATATTTTTGTGTGTCTTTACCATAGCACACCCTCTGCCCCTGCCCCCAAGAAGCTTCACTGTGCCCAACTCTTGCAAGTCTGCGTACCTTCCATGGGATTTCCAAGCTCTCGACCAGCACTGGCCAAGAGAAATTTCTGTGGCAATGTTGTAACTCTGCACAGTGCAGTATGTTAGCCACCAGCTGCATACGGCTACTGTCCACTTGCTAGGTGGCTGGTGAGACCGGGTAGCTGAATTTTAAATTTTGTTTTATTTTAATCAATTTAAATTGACATTGCTGTATATGGCTAGTTACTGACATACTGTACAGAGCAGTTCTAGACAGTTCCAGCAAAGCTAACTCGAGCACCAGAGTGAAAACCCCAGGGTGTCCCTCTCCAGAGAGGGACAAAGTGACCGTGTCCCTGTGCTCTGCATGGACTCCTGCCCTTTGCTAAGGGAGCCAAGCAAGTAGTCAGAAGTCAAGACAAGACTTGATGGGACGCTCAGGGGGTATAGGATATGGAAATGAAGCCAAAGGAGGGGAAGAGGGGGAGGCGGAGTAAGGAAAGAAAGAAGATTCCTCCCCTTGGACTTAGGACTAGCACCAAATCTGGCAAGTTCTAAAACTTCCATCAGATTCTCCTCCCTTTTCCCCATTACAAAATTTAATGGAAAGAACATTAAATACCCCCTAATGCAGGCCTCTCACTCTGTAGAGGGAGAGACTAGAGCCGGGGGAGGTGGCTGAGTTGTCCCGGGTCTCGTGTTCACTCTGCGGCGGACTCAGCCCCGGACTGTGCCCTCCCCACTCCCGACCCCACGCGCCCTCCCTGCCCAGCGCCCCGAAGCAGCTCCACTAGAGCAGGGCGGGGCTGCGGAAGGAGAACTGCAGGTAGACCACGAGCAGGCAGAGGGAGGCCCAGAAGAGGCACCAGCGGAGGGAGAAGAAGTTGTAGCCCAAGCCCCTCTGCTTGGAGGCATCGGAGAAAGCGAAGGCCGCCTCCTCCTCCAGCAGCTTCTCGCTGGGCTTCCAGTGCACGATGCCCTCCTGACAGGCCTCGCAGAACTCGCTGAGGTGCGGCCCGCGGTCCGGCCGGCTGGCCACGTGGATGCGGTACTGGCCGCCGTCCTCGTCGTAGCACTGCTCGCGCAGGCTGGCGATCAGGACTGCTCGCGCAGGCTGGTGATGAGATTGTCACCCGGGCTCTCGATGTTCTCCTCCAGCATGCTCGCCTCGTCCAGCCGCGCCGTGCCGCACTCGTAGCACAGCTGCTTGAAGACGCGCATGCGCACCGAGCCCGCCCGCTGGGCACGGTCCAGGTACATGTGGAAGAGGATGACCACGTGGGGCGACTGCCAGGTGTGCCAGCACCAGGAGCAGTGGAACCTGCGGGGCGGGGAGGGAAGGATGGGAAGGCTGGCTTCTCAGTGATAGCCTGCCTTGGCAAGCCCACAGAGAAAAGCCTTGTGTACGTATACCTGGAAGTGGAGGTGGAGTGTTTACGGCCCTCTGGGTTCATTAGTACTGGGAGGCCTCTAATTCCTGTCTCCGCCTGGTGGGCGCCCCTGGCACTGGGCAGCATCCTCAGTCGTGCCGGAGCCATCTGGCCTCCAGCGGGGCCTTGGAGCTTGCCTCATGCCTAACCTCCTGCAGTCCCACTCTCCCTAAGCCTAATGCGTTCAGAGCGGTCCCTGGATACTGCACAGGGTCACCCCCCTCTCCCGGCCTCATTGCTCATCTGTTAAGTGCAGCCCGATGGTATCCAGTTAGGGTCCTTCTGCTCAGATTTGCAATGACTCTGATGGGGAGATTCCCTACGCTTTCTGGTCCCTGCATCTTGCTAGCTCTGAGGAGATACGCCGCTGACAGTGCCATGCTGGCATCCTGTAGGTCCCACTGAGGACAGCAGTGACAGAAAGGATGGGTGGGGGTGACAGGCTAGCCCAGGGAGAGACTACACCTTCACAAAGAACACACCCCTATCCCTGACAAGCCAGCCTAGATTCCACTCCAGCCCGGCAGTGGGGACGTAAAAAGTGGATTCCGGTCCCACAGATATGCCCATAAAGGCACTTTGTCTAGCCTGGGTCCTAGAGCCCCAGCCTCAGGAAGCATGAAGGGAGGTGACCTCGGGGCTACCTCATAAAACCCCACTCTCTCCACCCTGGCCAGCGCTTGCACACTTTCAGTGACAGAGCAGTCATTACTCTAGCGCAAGTTCTTTCCATGTTGAGATGAACTTCTTGCAGCCCCGTTGCCGTCCTACACCATAGCACTGCACAGGATTTAACTGACCATCAAAGGTCAACACCCTCATTTTGCAAATTTGAAAACTGAGAACTAGAGAGAAGAAGGACTTGTCCAAGTTCATAGAGCTAGTTAACCATTAAGCCAGTTTCTAGCACATAGAAAATAGTCAATACCATTTTTTATTCAAATCAACTTGGATTTAATTGACCAAAGAGACCTAAGATCAGATCACAAAGGCCTCCTGACCTCTAGGTTCAGGTTTTTCCCAGTAGACTAGACCTCCTCTTTAAATGTCTGACATTGTAGGGGCACTAAAGATATTATAACTCTGTATTTAACAAGGATAACTAAGGCCCAAAGATGGAACATGCTTGCCCAGGTAGTCCAGGGAGTCAATGGTACAGCCAAGGCCTCGTAACCACCTGACAGCTCTGTCTCTGCCCCCCCTCACCCCTGCTATGGAGAATGGGGGGAAGAAACCATGGGACCTTCTCTCCTCGGAAGGTGCCTCCGGGCAGTGCCCCGGGGCTTCCAGGTGTGCCTTCTCTAGGGGGCCTCTCACCTGCCTGAGGCGTGCTGTTCCAAGTACTGCTTCCAGCCAGGGGCCAGCTCATTGGGCTTGAGGTTGGGGTCCATGATGAGCTCCCAGCTGTCTGCTGGCTTTGCCACTTCCATCTTCTCATAGAAGACTTTCTTCCACTCACAAGTGGTCAAGCTGGTGGACATGATCCAGTTGGCAGGGGTGGAAGTTTGAGCTCAGCCTGACTGAGAACACGGAAAGAGCCGAATAGCTAAAGGGCAGTTCAGTCTCTGGTCTGAAAGTTCTCATCGACAGGATCAGTAGAAAACAGGACCTGACTCCCTCCTTTGTCACCTTGGAACCTGTTGCCATAGCAGCCAGGCAGGAGCCAAAAGCCAGGGATGAGGAGGAGGTAATCCCTAAGTGGGAGCCCCAAAGCCCTAAGCTAAACTCCAGAGGCAGGGCTGGGCGGCGATGCTGCGTGGAGCAAGCAGGACGGGAGGCCCAAGCTCAGCTCACACCCAGGCCACAAGAGCAGGTAAGACTGTGGTGGCACCATTCACCCTACCGCTCTTTCAGCCGTTCTTTATAGTGTGTGCTACGGTAACCATGACTCCTTGGGGAGTAGAGAAGAAATAAGGGACAGGGAAATGCAGAGCCTGCTGCTCCCCTCGCCCCCGCTGTGCCATGACCATCACTAACAAGCTGCTTGACCAGCGAGACGGCCAAGGAAGATCGGATCCAATGCGAACGAGGAACTGAGGTCTGCGAGTCTTCTCAGTGGGCCATCCAGGATTCAGATCCAGGCTTCCCCACGCCAAGCTTGTGTGTGGTGTGGTGTTGGCTCCTAGTGCAGAGTCGTGGGTGGGGAACTCCAGAGAGAAGCAACGCGTGGCTCCTCTGCTCAGGGAGGTTTTAGACCAGCTGGTGGGCTAGAGTGCAATTTAAGGCACTACGAGAAGCACAGTAATAACATTTTAGATTCATAGAGTCACTGCCTTCTCAGAGCTCATGTTCAGCTCCTGCGCCCCAGCCATGCTAAGGCTGCCCTTGGGAGAAGGAGTTTGTGAACACCACCAGCTCCCGCTGCCTCAGCTGCTGCTGAATGGGGCCTGGCAACCTGCAACTGTGGTCCCCTGATGCCCAATTTAAATACTTTAGGGACTAGACTTCAACTCTGCATTTGCATAATCTAGGAGAAGGCCCCATCACCTGGAGACAGGCAGGAAAAGACCAGGTGTCATGGCTGCCCTCTCAGCTCTACGCAGGTTCCGTGTGGTCTCTTCCAGTTGTCATTGTCTACCGCTGTGGAAACTGTGCGTGTGGATCCCGACACATGCAAAGATGCACAGAGTGAAGAGCGTGAAGAACTGCAAAGGACTGCTAGAAGAGAGAGGTTTGGTACTGAGTTCAGACTTGTCGCCTGCCTCGTGGTGGTCTCACGCGAGGTGGGGTCGGAGACAAGTTATTGGATCTTCTCTCAGAATTGGAAAGTGTTTTCCTGTGGCTCTAAAAGGGATTATTTATTTATTTATTTATTTATTTATGTTTTTGGAGAGGTTTTTCCTATAGGGCACGTGTGCTTACAAGAGAGACAGAGAGACAGAAAGCAAGAAATCATCCCCCAGGGAAGATGACCACGCTGCAATCCCTTCTCCTACATTCTCCTCTCAGGATCTTGGGCATGCACGCACACACGCCCGGCGTGAGTTTAAGCCACTGGGTCGGTCCAGGACTCGAACCATGGTCAACTATGTGGAAGTCCAGCGATGTAGCCATTATGCCATCTGCTGGTCCCAGGATCGTTTATTTTGAAGAATTGCATTTCTTTCTTTCTTAACCCAAGTCTCTTGGTTGAAATAAGACCACTGAGGCCCAGAAATAGGAATCTACTTGCCCAGGGCCTCAGCACTGAGCTACTCACTAGGGCGCTCTCTCAGAAGCCAGATCCCAGATGAGGGGAGATGGAGGACCCATGCCTTCCCAGGAATTAAATAAAGCAGAGAGAAGCTCACGGCCTGGACTGCAGTCATGTGCCAGGTGCGAACCTCTACGAAATATTGCACCCTGTGCCCAGGGCACATAATGGAGGGAAAATGAAAAGAGGGCGAGAATTATCAGCGTTTATCTGTTTTCCATTTGTTTTTGGGTCTTTTTTTTTCCTCAAATGATGCAATCCCCTTAGGCCCAGTGTCAGGTTTAATTTAGAGCAGGAACCTTCTAAGCAGAGACCAGTGTAATTAATCTTTCTCCACTGTTTTCTCTCAAGGAAAAAAAAACTTTCTTTTGATGCAATTAATGAGCACAACGATCACCTCGCTTTTCTGTGAATGCCACTAGGTTCCCCAGAACCCACAATGTAAGCGCTCACTGATGCATAAACGTGTATCACTGTGGCTATATTGTACGCTGGCAGTTGTATTAAAATTGTTGCTATATTTTAATCTAAAAATAAAGCAATTCTCACTCACTTATAAAATAAAATATCACTTACCTATCTTATATCCCAATTCCTCTCTATTCAGTCTTGTCTACCACCCTCAGAGATAGAAGGTGCAGGGAAATTTTTCCTTGCATCCGTAGTGAAAACAACAGAAAAGCAACAGACAGTACCTGCTCCAGATCTGCAAATACAAGGGTACTTCAAAAGGTTCAAGGAAAACTGGAATTAAGGGAACCAGCAGTTAGCGTAATGGCTATGTCGCTGGACTCCCACGTAGTCGACCGCGGTTTGCGTCCCGGACCCAGTGGCTTAAAACTCATGCTAGGCGTGTGTGCGTGTGTGCCCAAGATCCCGAGAGGAGAGTGGAGGAGAAGGGATTGTGGCATGATCATCCCCCCAGGGGGTGATTTCTCACTTTCTGTCTCTGTGTCTCTCTCTGTCTGTCTGGTGAGCACATGCGCCCTATAGTAAAAACCTCTCCCCCCCCAAAAAAATGGAATTAAAATGTGTTAAGTTTTACTAGTATAAGAAAATGAAACTTATGCATCATTTTTCATAATACGCATGCTCCATGAGCTGTAGGGAGACCCCTCGTGAACATCCTATGCATCTGTAGTCTGCAAACAATTGGTCAAGGCCAGGCAGGGGTTGGGAATGAAAGAACCACCAGCTCCCCTTCAATTCAAAGTGTAGATTAACAAATACCTTTGTAAGATAGTCATTATTTAAATTTTACTTATCGGAAATAAGTAATACCAACTAATATAACACACATCATTATTTAACCAAAAATGAAAAGTAATGAATTGAGCACACCAAGATGACTTGGGGGCCAGCTAGCAGTTAGTATGGTGGTTAAGGTGCTGAATCCCACCTGACCATCTATAGTTCAAGTCCCAGACTAGATGGTTTAGAAACCATGCCCGGTGCACATGCATGTGTACCAGAAATTCAGAGAAGAGAATGGAGGAGAAGGGATTATGGCACGGCCAGCCCCCCTGAGAGGTGATTTCTCACTTTCCTTCCTTATCACTCTGTCTCTTTCCAGTGAGCACAAACATCCTATGGCAAAAATCTAAAAAAAAAAATTACTTGGGGTTTTCTGAAAACTATATATACACTTATCCCAGAAAGACTGAAATATAGGCTCTTAGAAGGCATATCTGCCCTCCGCCCAGTCCAGTCTTGGGAAGAGTCCTGCCACTGATGGGCGTTGTTATTCGCTTTCTGTCCCTCTGTCTTTCTGGAGAGCACATGTGCCCTATAACAAAAACCTCTCCAATAAAAGAAAAACACGCCTGGTACACACATGTATGCAGGCTCAAAATCCTGCCTGGGGAAGGAATTGCATTGTGGCCGTCCCCCCGGCAGGGGGCGCACTTGCTCTTATTCTCGCTCCCTCTCTCTCATCTCTGGTGAGCACACACACCCTGTAACAAAAAGAAAACAGAAAACACTGAAAGTGTTCCAGAGAAACCCCCAGTCCCAAACCTGAGAGAGGCATTAGGCAGGGGTACAAAGGGAAATCAAAGAAAGAAATTGGGAAAGACAATGACTTGCAAGTAGTACGCCCTCAGTGAATGCCTCAGTCCCTCTTGTCACAAGCATTTGGTTATGAACTATAAGTAATATCAATGGTCTTTAAATAAATACAGATGCTTGTTTTAAAATGCAGTTCCAAAAGGTTGTAAAATATAAACCAGTTATGACTATGAAAATTTAATTAACATTAATAATTAGCATTGCTAGAGAAATGTTACATTTTTTAAATTATGTGAAAAGAAAATAAACATAAGAAAAAATTCTAAACAGTACTAGTTATCATAAACATTGAAATTAAAACCACAATGATATATCAACAAACATCTGGCTAGAATGGCTACAATGAAAAAGACTGGTAATACCAAATGTTGGCAAAGATAGAGGGCAACTAGAATGCTCATACATTACTGGTTTGAATTCAAAATGGTCCAGCCACTGTGGAAAACAGTTTGGCAGCTTCTTAAAAGTTAAATATGTATTGGGAACCAGCAGTTAGCGTAATGGCTATGTCGCTGGACTACCACGTAGTCGACCGCGGTTCGTGTCCCGGACCCGGTGGCTTAAAACTCACGCCGGGCGCGTGTGCGTGCATGCCCAAGATCCCGAGAGGAGAATGGAGGAGAAGGGATTGCGGCATGACCATCCCCCCTGGGGGGTGATTTCTCGCTTTCTGTCTCTATGTCTCTCTCTGTCTGTCTGGTGAGCACATGCGCCCTACAGTGAAAATCTCTCCAAAAAAAAAAAAAAGTTAAATATGTATTTAGCATATGGCTTTGCAATTCTACTTCTAGGTATTTCCTGAAGGGAAATAGAAATGTATGTCCACAAAAATACATAATTTTTATAGCACTTTATTTATTTATTTATTTATTTATTTATTGGAAAGGTTTTTGCTATAGGACGTGTGCGCTCGCCAGACAGAGAGAGACAGAGAGACAGAAAGTGAGAAATCACCCCCCAGGGAGGATGGCCATGCCGCAATCCCTTCTCCTCCATTCTCCTCTCAGGATCTTGGACACGCATGCACATGTGCCCGGAATGAGTTTTAAGCCACTGGGTCTGGGACGCGAACCGCAGTCGACTACATGAGAGTCCAGCGGCATAGCCATTACGCTAACTGCTGGTCCCTTACAGCACTTTATTCATCATAGCCAGGAACTGGAAACAAAGCAAATGACCACCAACAAATGGACAGATAAAACACTTGGGTCAGATCCACTCACTGTCTTATGACTTAGAAATAAAAGGGCAGCCTATAGAGACACATGACATAGACAAATGTCCTTTTTTTTCTTTTTTCCCTAGATCTCAAAACTTTCATATTTTCATTCTCCCCCTGTTTGGTGTCCTTAACATGGACTCATTTTTAAAAACATGCCAAGTGAAAGCACAGAGAGACACAGAGTATATTATGTGTAACTATTTCATGCATAGTACGTTCTTGGAAAGGTAAAAATGTGGAACGGAAGAAGGTATCTTGATGCTTACCTGGGGTCAGTATCTTGGCCACACTTTCTGAAGTTTCTTTTTTTATAGCCCCATTTACGCAGTGGAATTGCCTGGTTTCGGGGCCTGACAGAGACACCAGTTCACATAAGGAAAAGACCCATTTCAGCTAAGGCCATCCTGGAGGCAGGTCTTCCACTACAAATAGAGAAAACCCTCAACGGCAGACTCTATCTCTAGGGATCAAGTCAGCTCCCAAAGAGCTACGAGGGATCCCTTGATGGGAGGTAGAAATGACTGAGAGCTCTGCGGAGGTGCCAGAGTCAGAGCGGCTGCATACCTCAGCTTAGCGGGGAGATAGAGAGGGAAAGAACAACACGTGTAGTGTCCTTGCCTTTGCCCCAAGGCTGAATGCTGTATTTACTTTTTTCTTATCCGAATGTTGATAAGCAAATATTCGGGAGGCATCACACTGGACAAGCATTACATAGCTAGGAGCGCCTCCTTAAAATCCACCAGTAAATACCCAAGCAAACCACTTAGCTTACAGTTTGGAACTAGGGAATGCAGTCAGAACCCTCGAAGTGACCAGACTTTGCTCAGGGTTGCCTAACGTATACTAGGAACCCTCCAATTTATCTCACCCAAGATTGACTTTGGTAAAGCTTGGGGAAAAAAAGAATTCTACAAGAAAAGCCAGGCTGACCAGGTTTCTAGGGCAGCCAGATGTTGCATGCCCGCTGTGCAGTTTGAGTCCCAGACCTGCAATGTGAGAAATGCACTGGGCACATGCTCATGCATGCCCAGAATCCCAAGGAGAGGGAGATGGAAGATAGGGAATTGTGGCGTTTCCCATGGTGAGTGCTTTTTACTCTCCCTCTTTCTCAGTCTGACAAACACATGCACACTCTTGCCCAAAACAAACAAACAAACAAAAAACACTATAAGAATAATAATAAAAAAAAAAAGCTAGAAATATCCATTGTTCATGGAACTAGGAATTGGCCACAACTACCAAGCCAGAATGTCTGGCAATTATATTTGAGCTTAGATATACGGACCGGCCTTTGACATGGAGATTAAGGTGGCTGGATCCCACATGGGTGACAGCACAGTTTTATTTTTTTGGTTTTTTTGTTTGTTTGTTTTTTTGAGAGGTTTTCACTGTAGGGCGCGTGCACTCGCCAGACAGACAGAGAGAGACATAGAGACAGAAAGCGAGAAATCACCCCCCAGGGGGGATGGCCATGCCGCAATCCCTTCTCCTCCATTCTCCTCTCAGGACCTTGGGCATGCACGCACACGCACCCAGCATGAGTTTTAAGCCACCGGGTCCAGGACGCGAACCGTGGTCGACCACGTGGGAGTCCAGCGACATAGCCATTACGCCAACTGCTGGTTCCCGGTGACAGCACAGTTTGAGCACCACATACAGTGGCTTAAGAAACATCCCAGTCACATGTGTATATGTGCCCAAAATCCCAAGAGGAGAATTGAGGCAAAGGAATTGCAGCATGACCATTTCCTATGGGCCATGCTTTCTCACTTTCCCTATTTCTGTCTCTATTTCCGTCACTCTCTGGTGACCTTACGCTCCCTCTAGCAAGCTAGAAATTCAGTAAGTAATTTAAATATATAATAAGAGGACATGAAGAGCTAATGTGTGCCCCCACCTCATTTCAGGAGAGCGAATATTTCTTAAAACATGACGTACCACAATAGTAGCGAGCATACTTTCCACACACAGCTGGGTTTCTAAGACCGATTTCCAGTAAAAGGAACTAGGTCTTCTTGGAAAACTTATCTGCAAACTGATTCACTTACAGGTCTGGGGTTTGGTGCTGTCTGTAGGCTGGAATCTCGGCTGGGGCTTGGGCCAAGACTCTGGCACATGGCCTCTCCATGTGGCCTGGGCTTCTTCACAGCATGATGGTTTCATTTCAAGAACTAGTGTCCCAAGAGAATCAGGCATAAGCTGTCTCTGTATAATCCTGCATCAAAAATCACAAAGTAATTTGCTCACTCTTGCCCAGATTTAAGATAAAAGAACACAGACCCCGGATTCAATAGGAAGAAGGTCAGGCCTGCGTTGTAGGATGAAGTTGCAGGTCAGAAGATGCTGTGATCTGGGACCAGCAGTTGGCATAATGGCTATGTCACTGGACTCCCATGTAGTCGACTGGGGTTTGAGTCCTGGACCCGCTGTCTTAAACTCACGCCAGGTGTGTGTGCGTGCATGCCCAAGATCCTGAGAAAAGAATGGAGGAGAAGGGATTGTGGCATGGCCATCCCCCCTGGGGGGTGATTTCTCGCTTTCTATCTCTCTGTCTTTCTGGTGAGCGCATGCACCCTATAGCAAAAAAACCTCTCCAAAAAAAAAAAAAAAAAAAGAGAAATAAAAGTTGAGGTCTAAGAAAATATTATGAGATATTTTTAATGTCATGCAAAGAGTTAACATTTTATCGTTTTTTTTTTTTTTACATATATATAAGTTTTTGCCATAAGGCCCATGAGCTCACCAAAGAGACAGTGAGAAGGAAAGTGAGAAACCACCTTGGGAGACAGTCATACAGCAATGCCTTCTCCTCCATTCTCCTCTTGGGATTCTGGGCGCACACACATGCACCCAGTGTGAATTTCAAGCCTCCAAGTCTGGAGCTTGAACCACGGTCAGCCATGTGGGAGTTCAACACCTTAACCACCACACCCCCTGCTGGTCCCAAGTTAATATTTTGTCTTAAAGGGAATGCAGAACCACTGAATTCTTTTAAGCCTGTACCAAGTGATTAGATTTACATATTGTTATATTGTGCATATTGCCCTCTTTCCTTTTTCCCCATCAGTTGGTTGTTACCTAACAACTCTCTTTCCATGACATGTTGGCCCTGGGTTCAGATCTTCGTAGCTTCTCGTAAATCCAGACCCCTCTTCAGGAAGAGTGGGAGGAGCCTTCATTCCATCATTCAATATGTTTCCTTAGTATTCTACTGTACATTTCCAACTGAGGTCTACTGGGGTAAGTGTCATGAGAAAATGGGAAAATACAATGTTTTTATTGAAAAGCAATTAATACTCAGAGTATTACATTTCCAAATGGTTTACATTGTCAATAAAACATTTATGGAACATTTTCCCCAGTGAAGGTGCACATGAACACCAAAGAGCTACACTGATGCTTACATGTCTGCATTAGTCCATCAGTGATTGTGAAATGAAGACAGAGGCTCACAGGCTATCTCCACCAAATCTATCCACCAAATCGCCTTACATCTCCTATCTAGTCTTTTTAGAATGATACAGCAGTACAGAAAAAATGTTACTGTCTAAGTATGCTTGTAGGTAGGGCAAAGAGGGAATTTGAAAGTAATAGACAGCAGAGTAAAGTCTATGGTGGTGCAGGTTCAAGAGTCATAATAGTTACTTAACCCGTGACACGTCCTCAAAGGCAAGGAAACCGAATCTAAGCAAATGAGGAGACTGAAGTTCGGTTGAGAATGGCTCCATGTCCAGGAAGCAGTGATGGACACGGGTCAGGGAGCAAACTGCACTCAGGGGTAGCCGCAGTTTCCAAACGGGGGCCCAGATCACGATGCAAGAGAAGCCGCAGCTGCTGCCTGGTTCTTTAGGCACCAGGAACTAGGCAAGAAAGGAACAGGATATTCCCTCGCCCTACGTACTACTTGTGGCGAAGGGGATCTTTATTACTATTATTATTTTATTGATCTATCTATCTATATATTACATTCAGTCACTGTGTATCATTACAACACGCCAAATGAAATTTCCCGTCATGAACGCACTCCATATTGGTCTAGTCAGCGTCACGTCATTACCATAAACATAACCAACAGGTGTCTTTCCATCTGGGGTCCCTTAAATGCTTTACTTCTTTCTTGATTCCCTCCTTCTCACTCTCCCCCATTTTCCACCAATAAAAGTTACTGATAGGGGGACCAGCAGATGGCGTAATGGTTATGTCACTGGACTGGGGTTCAAGTCTCAGACCCAGCATCTTAAGCTCACGCCGGGCATGTGTGTGTACATGCCCAAAATCCCAAGAGGAGAATGGAGGAGAAGGGATTGTGGTGTGGCCATCCCACCTGGGAGGTGATTTCTCATTTTCTATCTCTTCAGCGAGCACAGGTGCCCTACAGCAAAAATCTCTCTATTAAAAAGAGAAAAGAAAAGAAAAGAAAAGAAAAGAAAAGAAAAGAAAAGAAAAGAAAAGAAAAGAGAAAAGAAAAGAAAAGAAAAGAAAAGAAAAGAAAAGAAAAGAAAAGAAAAGAAAAGTTGGTAGTAAGGCCCAGCAAGTGTCGTAGTAGGTAAGGCACTGGGCACCCACGTGGCCGACCATGGTTTGAGTCCCAGGCCCAGCAGCTTAAAACTCATACCAGGCAGTAAGGATGCATGCCCAGAATCCTGGGAGAAGGGAGAAGGGATTGCAGCGTGGCTCTCCCCACTGAGTGGTAATTTCTCACTTTCTCTCTTTCTCCAGTGAGTACACATGCCCTATGGCAAAAGAAAAAAAAAAACTTAAAAAAGTAAATAGATAGGGACCAGCAGTTAGCATAATGGCTTTGTCGCTGGACTCCCACTTAGTCGACTGCAGTTCGAGTCCCAAACCTGGTGGCTTAAACTCACGCCGGGCACGTGTGGGTACGTGCCCAGAATCCAAGAAGAGAATGGAGGAGAAGGGATTGTGGCATGGCCATCCCTCCTGGGGGGTGATTTCTCACTTTCTGTCTCTCTGTCTCTCTCTGTCTGTCTGGCGAGCGCACGTGCCCTATAGCAAAAACCTCTCCAAAAAAAAAAAAAAATAGATAAATAAACATGAATAATGACAAACTGTTTACTATGTGTTCTGAATGCTTCTAAGCACTTTATATGAACTCATTTGAGTATACAAGGCCTTATGAGGTGGATACTCTAAACACTGTTCCCGTTTCACATAGGACAAGGTCAAGGCTCACGAAGGTTATCACAAAGTGACTTATTGGAGGCCACAGAGCTAACAAGTGACCATTCCAGGGTTTAGCCAGACACTTGGACTCACTGACGGCATGCATCTCTCTACAAAGATCCTCCCTAGGCCCAGTTTTAAATACAATAAACTTACTGCAAAGCTTTGGATGACACAAAAATAGATTAGCTACTAAATGAAACTTGCACATTCTCAAGGCAGAGCAATGGCCCAGCAATGAGACAGGACACTCTGGGAAGCTCACCCC